AGATTTTGAGGGTAAGGAATGTTTTTGCAGTCTCATATCGCTAGCTGAAAAATCGTACTGACGTCATAGCGATGTTGGAACCATCAATGACGATTGGTCTCAATGTTGACGAAGGTGCTGGAGTGAAGATTACGCTTTCTGGCTGTTCGGTGGAGCCGCGACCCATTTGGACGAGTTCTGCTAAGATCCGGTCCTGAAACAGTGTTTACATATTTACAGGCAAAATCTAAATAGGCTTTGGTAAGTACCTGGCCAGCATCGCATCCAATCTTTTTCAGCACAGCTATCAGCCTTTCTTGGGAGTATCCGAGATTCCGAGCGAACTCGACCAGGTGCGGTGGTGCAGTAAAGGGAGCGCTCGACTTTGCCGTGTCCTCTTCTGCAAGTAATGTTTTACCAAACTCTAGAAGTACCTGCCAAAAATGCCAACCTAGCTTCAACCTGCCAAGTCCTAAGTCTGAGCCGACAGTTTCCGAGCTTTCCCTCGAAAGCGAAGGATGTGACTCCTCAGAGCAGGAGCTGTAACAACTGTCCTCCTCGTTCAGCTCCGCCCTCCTAGTGCCACTGTCAGTTAACGGTTCTGATAACTGTGCTCCGAAAGAGACTTTCGCAGGCACACCCCGGGACACCCGGCGAAGTGGTGGATGCTTGCGCTCCATCACTTTCGCTCCGTTTTCTGAAATACTTCAGATCAATTACAATTTCTGGAAATGGTTTCAGTCAAGTCATCGAGCAGAGAGATCAAAAGCAAAGAGATTTCTGCAGACAAACGGATTCTTACAGAATAGGCAAATAATGATCTCTGTTTATGGACAAAACGAATGCTTGTGCTCAATGCTACTTTTTCACAGACCATAAGGACAATATTCAAATTGGGACAGTTTCTCTCAAACTTCTTCTGGAACAAACTGTCACTAAGTAAAAACTAGCAAAACTGACCATATATCGAAATTTAACATGAAAGTGAGTAGCAAACAAGTTTGCCATGCGATGAAACCTTTTAGAAAACTGGTACTTCAAGTGTGACTTCACAAAATTTGGTATTCTGAACTTCAAGCTGTCAACCAAATGAATTATTTGAACTGTCTGTCTTTTCCTTTTGTTATGACATA